AGAGTAAAATTAAATTTTAATATTGAAAGTCATGTAGGAATGATTTATGTATAGCTGTATTATCTCTATGTTCTTGCTTGCATTCTTTTTGGCACTACCCCCCCCCGTACATTTACAAAATGTTTTTATTATTTGTTATCTAAGTCTTGTAGTATGAAAAACATGAGTTTAATAGAATGCTTATTTTTCTGACTGCAAATATTAAAATAATTATTTGTTAAAGGCAAAGAAAGATGTACTCTTTGTTTAAATTTAAAACATTAGAGCTAGGACGAATTGTTTTTCTTTTGGAATAAATCACAGTTACACCTGTTAATGATCAAGGTACATTTTCATTATATTTTGAAGTATGAAGCTGTTCTACAACTAAAAACATTCATTTGGTTTATTTGTACAACTACCAGTCTAAATAAGTACTTGAGATTATTCTAATATTTTGAGATGTAATGTTTTATTAATGGTAAGGTTATGGATGACAGTGAGAAACAGCTTAAGATTTGATCAGATTTATGTTTATGGATCTTTTATTTCTTGCACAAACAATATTTTGTATACTTGAATACATTGAGTATTTTTAATTACTCTCTCAAGCAAGGTATAATTCATTTTAAGTAAAAAAAATTAAGAAGCATTTTGGGAAATTATGCTGTGTAAAAAATTTAGGTGTCAAAGTTAAATTTTTTTATCCGTTACATCTGTTATCCAAGAAACAAAAAGTTTAAAGAATGTGTATGTTATATCCATTTTGCTGGGTTACTAGCTGCAGAAGGTTCATGAGGCAGAAATATCACAAATAACATGTTTATTAGCAGATGTATACCAAATTTCTAATATCTTATTTTTTTCAGGCATTTGGTCAAACATTCATCATTGATGATCATTTCCTTGCCTTTAACCATCCATATCTAAACTTAAAGCTTTCAGCTCAGTTTCATAAAAATTCATACATCCATATATTATTTTGTACTCTTAAAAGTGAAGATAAAACTTTTGAACTTTGTTCTTTGAGCTAATAATGGTCAAATAAGAGGACAAAAGTTACCACTTTCAAAATTCTAATTCATGGTTTAAAGAATGGGATGTATAAGTGAGTAAAGTAATATTCATAACCATTTAAATACTTTAGTTGTTGTTGGTTTACTTCGTGCTTTATACACAACAAAATACAAGATGAAGAAAATATCTTGCATACCTTTTCAAATCATCTTTGGTTCATCCACAGAACAGTAGGTTTTCAGCCATTTTTTAATAACATATCACAACAACTTAAGTACTACTAGTAAGAGTGTTTTTTTTTACCTTGTAAGAAGTTTTGTCTTGTAATGACCCCCAAAAAATTCGACCAACAGAATTAAAGACAGATGCTATTGATCCCACTTCATTAAAAGCCAGTTAAATCTTTGATTTAGATGTACAGAAGTTAATGTATTTTTATTATTGATTTTAGATATATTTTCTTCGCTTATAATTGGCACTCTTGTTTTCAGACATGTATGGTGTGTCTCTGTGGAATACTTTGTGCTTTGATGATGAGCTTTATTGCTACTCCACAAGGAGAGAAAGTAATGTTTAGTGTGTGGGTTTTTCTAATTTTCTTTACATTTTCTGGATTATTTGTACTGTTCCCAACAACAACAGCACAGACATTTGGCCCTATGCATGCAGGAACCAACTACGGTTTGATTTTCACTGCACCTGTAAGTACCACAACTTTCTGGTGTTTTTTTTTTTCACATTTTTGAGGTATCTGAAGCTAGGAGCCAATAAGAACACTTGTCAACTACAATTATTTGAATAATATATTTTTTTATTTAGAACTTGCTTAAATAACTTAATTTGAGCAATTTTTTTACATAACTTGTATACATTTTGTACAGCAATTTGCATCTATGCAAGTTATTTCTCTGAATGCTCTATGTTTAATATTTATTTTCTGTTATAGTGAATTTTGTACTAGTGAATCAACTTGTATATCAAAGTTTGGTTGGCTCACAATTCTTAAATTGCTGTAAAACTTGTCTGTGTGGGATATAAATAGATATTCTTTTCTTAATTTTAATTTTATTTTTTGAAAATGTTACTATCTGTAGTGCTGTATTAATTATGTTTATTGTATATTATGCTGAGCTAACATATAATACAGTTACTGATGGTGTATCATCAGTTCATAAAATAATCTTTTAAAAAATACAAATTTTGGAACAGGATTTTGTTTTTAATTACAACATGTGAATTTTATAAGTTTTAACTTTGTTACTGTAGGCCCTTTCATCTTTACTTGGAGCTTTTATTATTGAAAAAGTACAAAACAGTCTTGGCTGGTTTGGAACCTTTTCTTTTATAGGTGGAATGAGTTTAACAGGTACAAAAAGTCATTTATTTGTTTTCCATTATTTATTCATTAGTCTATATTAATTTTTTGGATGTTTTATGTCTAATTTTGACAGTGTGTGTCAGATCATTATTTATAATGCATCAAATTAAGTACTGTATGCCTTTTAAAAATTGTTTAAGTAAAATTCTTTTTTTAAAGTGAGAACAGGTGATCAATACTAAAGGTTTGGAGTTTTTTTTTTCTTTGTTACAAATTTAGATTATGTTTGATTTCTTGTTCTTTCAATATAAAAGAATTAATAATTAAAATTATAATTTTGCATTTCCAAAATATTTTGAAATATCTGCTTTTATTGTTTGGATTTATGTTAATTCTAGATACAGATGCAATACTTTGCACTTTTATCATTAGTAAAATAATATATAGGACATGCTAAAACTACATCTTAAATAAAATTCATTCATTCATTTTAGCACTATTCATCACTCTCTTCTATCCACAAAATCCTGAAATTGTGCGTCACCGTCATCACACATAGGTTACTGGGACCAAAAGCAACGAAAAAGATAGAAGAAATGGATAATATTCATTTTATTTTTACATATTGTGTAATATAGATTACTTTATTATTAATTCTTGTGTTTTGGAGTATTATAATTACATGGAGAAAATTGATTGGTGAAGTATACTTAATGTTATTCTTGTGAATTAATTCTATATTTATAATTCATATATGCAATTATAAGATGATCTGGTTTTTGTTTTTACCATTTTGATATTAAATAGATATATCTGTTATTTTTAGAGAAATTATGCATAGAAATTTATATTTTTGAGCTGTAATCAAATTAACATGTGAGTTGTGATAATACCACAAGTTTAAATACTTGTATTGTTGTAAATATTTTGGGTAGTATATTGGAAACAGTTTTATTATTTTTTGAAATGTTTTAGAAACTACATGAAAAGATTTTTGTACGATGTATTGCAGGGTGTTTTCCTACATGTTTAGAAAATCTAATTGTATGGAACTGGAATTTGTTTTGTGAAAAAACTAAAATAACAAATCAACAGGATATAATGTGCACATAAATGTAATCAAATGATATATTTTTGTACTAATTAAAAACTCGTTACAAACTAAATACACTCAAATTCTTTATTTCTGAAAGCGGAAAAGGAAGTAATTTAACAATCATTCAGAAAGTACTTTTCTTCTGAATGAGTAGGCTTTATTTTTTCTATACTGAGGCTATGTTCATCATTGGTCTTAAAATAATTTGAATAGATGACCATGTCAAATTTACGTTCTTTCACTCGTGGAAACAGTTTTCTTATCATAAGACTAATGTTACCTTGCAATAAGGACAACTAAATTGCTTAACTATATATCTGAAGAAATACTGTAGGTGATATCTAAGTTTAAAATGGCAGTTGTACACGTGGATACACAGTATGAAGTAAGGTGTGTTGCTGTTTTTTAACATGCAAAGAATACTTTCCAATGTATGGCAAGGCTATATAAACTGAACATTTAGGTAGTTCATATATCAGAAGATTACTAGCCTTATTTAGTACTTACAGTAAACTTTTAGTGATCAGATATCAGTAGTTGTCATGATTAGTAGCTTATGGCAGTGGATCCCAAACTGGGATTTAGGGGATAGTCCCAGAGGTACCTAAGCACATCTAGAAGAATTCTGTTTAGAAGTTCTCTGCCACCAAACAAAGCAATATTTTGAGCAAGAATTGCTTTACTGCAATAAATATGATTACTCAAAATTATTGCTATTTGAGATTTGCTTTTTTCAGAGACAGAATTGCAATGAAAGTAAGGTGCCCCATAGTGCCTATTATTTATAATGCATGTTAAATCATTAAGTAGAGGCCCTCAGCCAAGGATATCTAAGGTTCAAGGAATTCTCAAAATTAAAACTTCGGGAACCTTTGGCCATTACAATAATCTAAATCTAATTGGTTTTTAGTTACTTTCTTATTAGTAGGCATAAATAACTAATCACTTTTAATAATCTTCTGCTGTCTTTAGGAAGATCCTGAGAAGGACTGTACATGGTGGCATGGGCCAGGATTTGATCTTTGGTCTATATGTCAGAAAGGCTGGTGGCACACCTTCTCAGAACTTTCCTGAAGTTGGTAGCAGATGAAATGTTGGATATGAACTAACTGTATAGTAATAGTGTCTACTTGATTGTTAAACTTAGGTGATCATGTAAGCTATTAACCATGGCAATTAATGTTATTTATTTGTAATACTAATCCAGATTTAGAAGTTCTGCTTCTTAAAATATTGTTAAAAGATATTTGAACTTTGTTTTATTTAATACATTGTACATTTATAATAAATTTCTATTCTTAAAACTGATATAAAAGATATGGAAGACAATGTTCAATAAAAATACTTCTGATTTGATGTATTTGTGAGCATTTTAATAAAATTCAGCTACGTAACTCCTTTACATAAAAAGCATACTGTATATAATTGTACTCTTATGAAATTAACATTTATTGTTTAGTGTTACGTCTACGTTTGTTAATTTACTTTTCGTAACTTCGTTCCGACGAAACTTTAGCGACAAGTTCTTACTTAATAAAACTGGTTTATTCTTTCCGAATATAACTTTACGATACACTTGATTTCAACATTTGCGCTAAAACAAACTCTATAACGAACGTTAACTTCAACAATACTTTCTCACTGCAGATCAATTACTCACTACCTACACACATTGTTATGTCACGCCATGACCATCTTATATATATATCAGGCCACCCCCCAATCTAGTAAATGCTAGAGCACTCCGAAGGAACGGGATAGTTCTAGAAAGCAGGTGGCGTGACACTAGTCACGTGACCTCGCTGACGCAACACTGCCCCCTCCTTAGTATTGTTCGTCCCGAACAATAGCCACTAAACCAATAACAATTAACAATAACTTAATTAAAATGTACAGAATTACAAACACAAAATTACAAAGTCTCTTAATTTTACAGGACGTATCTTCTTCCGTACTGGTCTCAGTCTCGTTGGCTTCTGCTTCATGTGGGGTTCATCTG